TTTACATCGAAAGCTAACCAGAATTTGGTACCAAACTTTCATCCGCTCAGATGATTGGTTGTAGTAGGCAAGACAGACTACATATTTTTCACAGAAAATAAACAATAAAAGTAGAAGTGAATGTTGAAAAATTCAATGTACGAGTACTATAAGAAAAGTCAAGATGTTAAATGGCGCTAAAATAACATTGCATGTTAGAAATTCTAAATGAAATTTTTAAAACGGTCATTTAACCGGTCGTGGTAAGTTTAGTATTAAACTTCAAAACATTAGTTCATTCGGACAATTTTGTAATAACATATAGCGTTATGAATACAAAATAGTCAAGATTTACAGGGTGTTCGATCACCCTTGGGAAAAATTTTAATGGGAGATTCTAAGGCCAAAATAAGACGACAATCAAGAATATCAATTTGTTGATTGTGGCTTCGTTAAAAAATTATAGAAACATTTCCGGCCACACAGAATATTTTCGGTACAGAATTTTTTTCTCGAAAGTACGTAGGATTTCGGGGGTATGTAAATTCCCCAAAAACGATTGTAATTGATTCCCCACAACCGAAAATAATTTTTCCAGAATGGTTTCAAACTTTTTAATTTCGTTGAAAAATTTGGGCACCTACCCCTTGTCGATTTTTCTAAAAAATTCGTTTTTCATGTTTAATAAATTTGTTTGACGCTGTACGGAAATGTTGTCTAATACCTTTTTGTAGGCACCCATAAGCACTACCTTAGAAAAAATTTCATTAAAATATATTCACTATTGTAGGAGTTATGGCGGTTTGAAAATTGGACCATTTTTATGGGGGTTCTCTCATTTTACGAAGTTTCCGAACATTAGCTTGGAATTTCTATATATTCTACACCAAAATACGCGTTGTTTGCATTTTGAAACATTAAAATCCTCCAATCCGTTTCAAAGTTATGATATTTTAAACATACGCATGAAATTTCAGGGCAACATTTCTGGTCTCACGTTAGATTTTCGGTAAAGAATTTTTTTCTCGAAAGTGCGTAGGATTTGGGGGGTATGTCTATTAACAAAAAATGATTGTAATTGATCCTCATAGCTGAATATAATTTTTTTAGAATGATTTGAAATTTTTGAATAACTTTTTAACGAATCAACAAATTGATATTCTTAATTTTCGTCTTAATTTGGCCTCTAGAATCTCCCGTTAAAATTTTTCCCAGGGGTGACCGAACATCCTGTATATGTAGATGGCAGGATGTTCCATTATGGAACTAGAAAAATTAATTCTCAAGTTGAAATATTGAAAGCAATAAATTTGAACAGGACTTGTAAATGTTTGCAAGGTTACACAAATAAGTACTGAAACAAATTTTACTACAATGGTCTAAAAATTTTAGTTTTGCGGAATATTGTAAGGTTTTCACCTGACAGTGAACGTGTTAAATTACTTAACTTATATAGATGGTATAAAAATGTAGGTGTGTATTGTATTATTATATAGGTAAGTGAGTATATTTTAGGTATTTATATGAATAGTGCAATGTTTATATAAATTTAAACTTTAGAAAGATAAAAAAATAGACATCGAACATTTTCTATATGGAAATTTATTAAATTGTTATTAAGAGCTCGTAAATTCAATGCAAATTAAATGTTAATTATATGCCCATTCTTGACAAAACTATTTTGTCATCAGGTTATTCGTTAGCAAATGCAGTGATTTCCGAAAACAAATGGTATAATCATACACAGTTTCATGCTCGGAAAATAATGTAAAATGTTAGTTTAAAGAAAAAAAGTCCACAATCATTTCTTTACGTCTAAAAACATGTAATACCTAATAGATGGATTTTGTACATTAGTCTCGAATCTTTTATTACGTTCCAATTTTTAAATTTGATCTACAGCCGTGGTCGAGCTTAGTGCTATATATTTATAAAGAAAAACGAAAGAAAATCTAGAAAAAAAAAGGCAAACGCAATCGCCAGTTCTTCGAACGTTCAAAAAAGACTGTATTTCGTGAGCGTCGCATTCTCCCCTATTTTTGGCCAAACAAGGGTGACCTGTTCGGCATTCAGTCAGTGCCGTTTCTCGGACATAATCCAGGGAGCCAAGTCTCGGGACGCAACATTTTAACGACACGTTTATAATGCACCTTGCGAGCAATTTCTCTATTGCAAGAAAACGCAAAGTGAAAGTCCTCGACAAAGAATTTTCCTGCACCTGTAAATAATTATTCCATCTCGGTGATATTAGGGAGAAAACATTCCCCTTTGTGTCGGGACTAATTGCATTCCTGTCAATTTCCATTCGGCCCCCCGCCGCTGAACGTTTATTTACCTTAACAATTTCTGAGAGTCGTCAGCCCCTCTCTATCCTTGTATTACGAACGCCCCTATCTAGACAACGTTATTCCATCTCGTTACACGCGGACATTTTCTTAATTATCGGTCCCCTCTGACGATCTAATTAACGAGTGAATAAAACGTGCGAATACACTGATTTCGTATAAAACGGGGCGCGAAACAGGTGGATAGTTTGAGAGGAAATGGAATCGAGAATACCGCAAGAAGCACTTATGTCGCAAAGAACTTGTTCAACGATTTTATGAGACGCTTGGAAGATAAGACTTAGAGTTAATTAGTTCTTCCGCGAAGAATGTAAAGACACTTTAAAGACATCTCATCAACGTGTTGCAGACCTCTCGGATTGGATGAATAAATTGATTTTAGGAAAAATAATTTTATTCAAGCTGGTTTATTTCACGTACACGTTTCAGTATATGAAGTGGGATAATTTATACCTAGAAACATACAATTAATTAGGTTGTTCAAGAAGAATATATATGTATATAAATGTCAAAATAAGTATACTAACAATTTGTAATGAATTATATTATTTCTCGATACAGTGAAAAATGTTAACAATGAAAATCTATAAAAAATATATTTACTAAAGCCGTAACTTCTTTGTTTCAGTTATTTAGATATTTACACATTGGCCACTAAAATAGTAAATAGAATTAGAAGATAGAATGCAAAGAAATCTTTAGAATAAAAAAAAACATTAAATTGACCTTCACTGAAATAAATTCTGGAATGAACATTTCTGCACCTGCTTGTTTCAATATTTTCTTCTTTATTTAACAATTAACATCCTAACATTTATATAGTTTACTAGCTTTTGCCCGCGATTTCGCTCGCACAGGAAACCGGTTAGTTCCCTCGGAAATAGATATTATTTCTCCATAAAACCTTTTGAGCCCCCATTCACTTCTATAGAGTTTTAATTTTATGTCATGTCGCCATCTTACATTTTAAAATTGATACCATTTTCGTAATTAACGTCACAAAAGACCTTCATAACGACACCCATACCGATATTTAGGCGTATTTACACCATTGCAACGGTTTAGTGATAAGATAATAATTACGTACTTACATGTTAAATTTCAAGTTTCTAGATCCATTTACGGAAATAAGGCAACTTTAATGCGAAATAAGTGTATCAATGAGCATTCAGACCAAGTATCAGGTAAATCCGACCACGAACAAAATATGTCCCATACAAACATTGCAACCCCTTCAGAGGTTGAATTTTTTAAAATGCCGAAATAGATGTTTGATTAATTATGTCAAAGAGCATTAAGACAAAGTTTGAAGCAAATCCGACCACAAATAAAATATCCCTCAAACAAATGTTACAACCCCTTTTCACCCCTTCAGAGGTTGAATTTAAAAAAAACCGGAATAAGTGTTTGATTAATTATATTAGAGTATTAAGACCAAGTATGAAACAAATCCGACAACGAACAAAATCTGTCCCATACAAATGTTGCAACCCTCTTTCACCCCAAGGGTAGAATTTTTTTAAATGCCGAAACAGGTGTTTGATTAATTATGTCAAAGAGCATTAAGACGAAGTTTCAAGTAAATCCGACCACAAATAAAATATATCTCATACAAATGTTACAACCCCTTTCCACCGCCTTAGGGGTTGAATTTCGGAATATTTCTTGTATACATCATAAAGGAAACCGCTGTGCAAAACTTCGGCTTTTTATGTCCAAGGGTTTAGCCAGGGCGTTGATGAATCAGTGAGTCAGGCCTTTCATTTCATATACATATATGTATAGATACATAGATAGAAGATTAGTTTAATGATATAGTAGTTTATTAATATTTTTGAATTTCCAAAGCGTAATAACAATTATTGTTAATCATCAAACTTAAAGCAATAATTACTTTATATCTGTTTAAATTTATATCGTAGTAAACTCTAAAGGTCGATTATTGGACTAGCGATAATCGCAGTAAAATGGTAATTGAACGATATTTGCAGACAACTGATTTGTTTTTGCAACAATGTCTTTTTGTGTCCATAATATATTGGTAATAATCCTCTTTTGTAATTTGTGCTTTGCACTGATTCTCGTAATATAAAATTCATCAGAAATTATGATATGATTCGATTTCTGGGATTGCCATTTTATTTTAATTTAAAATTGCGACAAAATCGAGTTAACATCGATTTTGTCGCGTTGGATCTCAGAATTGCGTAAATAGAATGATTAGTCATGCAAATTTTGTACACACTAAAACTGATTTAATTGAGCAATCATTAAAAAATCTAAAATTATTCTTGCAACGTATTCTAAATTAATTTATATTGTTAAAATTTTATAAGCGATAATGTTTGACTATGTAAAATCCACATTTGTTGTTCCTTACATATGACATCTTTTGTATTAAAGGGTTTAATCCCGTTAATAAATGAATAATAATAACATTGACAAATATAGAAATTTTTAGGAAATTAATAGGAATTTTTTGCAGACTTTAAACAGCATCCAAAAAGATACTCAACAAGCTTAAAATGGCAATTACTGGGATATCTACTCTAATCAATTTTGTACAAACTTAAAACGACTTCTTCGTTTAAAAGAAGAGTCTGTGATTTGAATCTGATTGGAGTTTCAAGAATGACTCGTCACTAAGGGATCAAGAAGAATGGGAAGATTAATTACCTCGAATTGTCGGGGATGAATCCGCAACGACGGTCGCCAGATCAACGAGGTCCTCCAACCCTCCTCCGTCACCCCCGCAGTCCATCATCGTGTCCTGAAATTAAAAAGTCGTTCGATACAATGTTATCGAATTTAGATATCCCAAATGAAACTGTATAACTGAGTCAATAGTGTTCCTGAACAGCTATTACAAACAATCAAAAATAAAGTAACATCCACTAAATACCGAGTGAAGAGTAATTACAAATAGTAACGAGTTTATACTTTTGTTTTTACAACCTAAAATAATAGGTAACGGTAGTTTTGTTTTGGAACATTATCAATTCTGTTAGTTATTTATATGCAAATAAAAAAAGTTTCAGTTAAATATACAGGGTGGTCCACGCAACACGTGCAGCTCTATACCTTCCAAGATATGCGTTGCACGAAACGATTTCGTATATCAAAATTGCATGGTTTAAAGGGCTACATTACGTAGTGCATTTACTTTTTTTATAGGTGGAAGCATTTCTGAGATTTGAAGGTCAACATTGTTTTTTTAAATAGAATACTATATTCTATGTATAAAAATATGGAAGAATATCGAATTCTGAGTAAAAAAGTATTGACCTTTATTAACCCTAAATCTAATAGCTAACGAATAATTTCACTTCATTTCTTGACAATTTTCTTCACGTAATATCAAATTGGAAACTCAACCGTATCACAGATTTCTGAAGAATAGTGAAAATTATCAAGAAATAAAGTGAAATTACTCGTTAGCTATTAGGTTTAGGGGTAATAAAGGTCAATATTTTTTTACTCAGAATTCAATATTTTGATATAAAAAATATAGCATTCTATTTAAAATAACAAAATTGACCTTCAAATCACCGAAACGTTTCCAGACATAAAAAAAATAAATATACTAAATAATGTATTCCTTTAAAACATGCAACTTTTGTACATAAAATTTGTTCGTGTAACACATACTTTGGAAACTACAAAGGTGCACAAGTTGCGTGGACCACCCTGTATATTAATTCAAAACAAAAAATATCTTTATTCATTACATGCCTTTTAAAATAACTGTATACGAATAAATACGTCGGTCTTACAGAAAGTTTTAATTTGTTAAGAAATATTTATTAAATAGCATTGGTGGTATTGTAGCTCACAAAAAATCCCATATAAGGTAGCCATATCACTATGAAGACGAAACAGAAAATATTTCTAAAGATATCAGAGAATAAATTATATTCTAAGAGTATACAGAGGCGAATTATTAGGAAACATATGATAACAGACATTGAGAACAATTAAAAGGTAACCAAGATCACATCCAAGCTTGCAAGAAATATTTGTGAGTGTCAAGAATGTTTTCAATCCATTTTTAGTATTCTTGTGCTTGCACAGAAAAGCACGTTTTAAATATAATTTTAATAAAACAAATTTTTCGAAAAAAACTCAAATAAAAACAAATAATAAAATAACTTTACCAACTCTTAAAAAAATTTTAATGAGAGATTCTAGAGGCCAAAATAAGACGAAAATCAAGAATATCCATTTTTTGATTGAGGCTTCGTTAAAACGTTATTAAAAAATTAAATTAAACAATTTCAAATCATTCACAGAAAAATTATTATCGGTTGCAGGAGTCAATTACAATTATTTTTGGGGAATTTACATACCCCCGAAATCCTACGTACTTTCGAGAAAAAAATTCTTTACCGATAATATGCTGTGTGGCCGGAAATGTTTCTATAACTTTTTAACGAAGCCTCAATCAACAAATTCGTATCCTTGATTTTCGTCTTATTTTGGACTCTAGAATTTCCCATTAAAATTTTTCCCAGGGTTGGCCGGACACCCCGTATACACGAATTAACCAATATTTCTTAAACAGGCCAAATTGGGTACACATTTAAATTGCAAATAAAAATCTGTTGATTTGAATAGTTCTAACTTATTCTGTATGAAGCTCGAATAGTTTTTGTTTACTTCGGGGCAAATTAAATGCAAAAATTAATTAAAAAAAAATTATTATATTTCAATCGATGGCGATTTAATTTTTACTAGGCCATATTAAGTACCTTGACCTTATAATTATTCGTGGCATAGTACACTTCGAAGCAACTGTAGCCACCTCAAATGGCGCACGTTCGAAACCAATTTCGGTGGCCTAACACGAAACCAAAAGTAATACATTGAAGGATGTAGTAGCAGTTTGCATTAACGAGTCTCGGTGAAGGTAAACGACACGCAGGAGGACCGTTTAATATAGTTATAAACTGAGAAAACGCGACGGCGATCATGAGGGACTGCAACAAGAATCCCAAGAAAGTTGCATGCGTGCGAATGCCAAACACGAGTCCCCCAGAAAAGGAGAAAAATATCCATCAAAAGGGTTAACGAGATTCCACGAGGCTGTCAGCGCTTCCTGGCGTCGTCGGTACGATCGTTTCCAAAATTGAAACGTATAAAAACCAGGCGCTGGCATTAACCGGGCCCTCGGCCGCCATAATGCGGCACTTTGTAATCCGCGAATGTTCGTTACGAGTTTCTCCCGGAATAACGCTTGTTTGTAACAAAATTGCACGGTGCATTGACTCGAGCTGCCGACAAATATTTAATTACCACCAATTTTCCATAAAACTCCGCGCTCCACCGAACGCTAATTCCAGCCGTTCGTTAACCAGCGAATTAAACGATGCTCGTGAATCCTCGACGAACCGTTCCTCGAAGAGCTGCAACCACGCTGAAAAATATGAAAGAAAGATTCGAGAAAAAGAAAGAATATGAAAAACGATTGCGAAGAACCGTTCCGCAATGTAGACATTAATATTTTTGACTGCAAATCTGCCTGGCGAAGGACGTACTTTTTGCATGAAACACTTTTTCACCTGTTGAGCGTACACAGGATGGTCGAATTATTTTTATTATTATTATTATTATTATAATTATTAAACGTCTTTATTACACACATTATATACAGAAAGTCTATAAAGGTCGGGACCAAATTTATACAATAAAAACCAAGTTAAAAAAATATTAAAAGCCCGTCATGTTCATTATTTTAATTATCTCCTACGACTTTAGTATATATAGATTTTTTCTGAAAATAAAAATACAATAATGTCGCGTGACTATATCTGCTCTATTCTAAAACGAAAGCAAAAAGTAGATTGAGTTTCGAACTATTGCATGTTGATTAAATATTAAGTAATATTTTGTTTTGACGTTTAGGGGAATATATTGAGGCTCCCCGTTTACCAACAAATTTATTATCCGAATTTTAATCGCTTCAAGCGTTTATTCATTTTGTTTCCTTGAATAATCATTGAAACTTTCATATTTCTATTTTTATTTATAATTCATGGGGTAAGTAAATCTCTTTCCTAACTTTCTTGCGTAAAAATTTGTCTTCTCCGACGGGAAACAGAGTCGACCATTTTCGAGCGTTCCTATCTCAAAATCAATAAAACTACAAGAGGAGAAGATCCATAAATATCCCGTTTACAGTTTTCTCCGACTGGATTGTTAAGATCGACCACTGCAGCGCGGGTCTCGACGATTTCGAAACGCAAAATTCGACCCGACTTTTCCAGCGGAATTCATCTCTTTGCTACCGAGTGGTCGGTTTACGACTGCCCTTGGTCGTTCGTAAATTCGGGAAATTTATTGCAACCACCGGAGGTGCGTTTGTGTGGAAATAGGTGCACCCAGTGACCCAGAGACACCGGCAATAAACGGTTGAAAGCTACGGTGGTTGGGTTATTTTGCCCTCTCGGTAGCTTCCAGCGATTTTCTCCGTTTAGTGACAGTTTGGGTCCAATTCCACAGTTTTTGGATCCGGTAGGATCGACCTTAAAGTTCTTCAATTCATAGAGTATACGCAAGGCAAACGGACAGACACTTTCTAATGTTTTATCATGTTACAAGATCCTGACCATGAAAATTAAGGGGGTATTCCGGTTTAAAAGGTCAATTTGTTTGAAAAAAAACCATTAGCCTTTCTTCTATGATTTTTAGAACACGTATTCACTATCATTTTATACATATACATTATTTTTTTCAACTGAAAATATCCTAAATAAAATACCTCCGCAATATCTTAGTAAAGAAGACATATATGTATAAATTTGTTAACCATACATTTACCCATGTCTCGAAATTCCGATCCTCAAAAATAATCATAAGTCACGTCCGCATCGTAAACCCCCTAATGTTAAAGTTCGTTAAGAATCCTTAACATAGGATGAACGAACATTAGGAGAGTTTTTGTATTATCTCTTGTTTCACGTCTAAATAACATTAAAATAGCTCTCAATACCTCTTGGTTATAATATTAAATACATTGTTTAGAAATAAAGAATAATACAATCATTTACAAGAAAAATGTTAAACAGAACGTTTTCCAACGTATTTACTTGCTTTTCCATATCGTACAATTTGCATATTAGAATTTTCTACTCTTTTGTCCGGCTGATGATAACGAAGGGTCGAAACGTTCATGTTTTTAATTAAATTTAATTTCACAATTACTTTTTGTAAACACTAAAAAGTCCAAATTTTTGTTTACCATGAACATTATGTCGAATTTTAGATACCAAATTTGGCATAATTTATGTTACCACAAATATTATAACAGAGGATCAAAGACAGTAATATTTAAATAAATACGTAAACAATTTTCGTAGAAATTATAGATGAGTACAAATGAGGAATTAACTGGTCCCATTAAATTATTAAATTAATAGTTACGATGACGCGCAACAATACAAATTTGATAGCAGAGTTAGCATTAATGAAATGGCGATAACGTAATAATGTCGCGAGCATAGAGAGTGGCATATATTTTCAATAAATTTCTTGCAAAGGCGAATAAATTTTATTACGAACATTACATGTAGTAAATTCTCGACAAACAAGATCAATTTGCATATAAAGTAGTCACACCGATTATAGCTTGAACCTGTTTCTTATTCGCTGACATTTCTACGCTCATTTGAAACGCTTCTATGTTACATTCCGTAATTTATTTCCATTACAGTGGAATGTGTAAAAGGGAACACCGAATGTCTCTCGAACTTAATAGCAGAAAAGAAGATACCA